TAGATGTGTATAAGAGACAAACCTAACACCACCATACCTGCTACAGGAGGCTGTGGGTTTCATGATTTCGGTCCTAAACCCGGCCCCTCTCCCTGCCTGGCATTGTGTTCCTGCCACGAGACCGGGCTGGCTCGTAAAACGTCTCTTTATGTACTTTATTACTTAAACTCTTTTATTTGCCTGCAGGAGCCCTTTAACAAAATCACATTGAATTGACTTTCTCACACCAAATCAAATCTCCCTGGTCCCAGTTCAGTTGTCTTTGTCAATATGTATTTTATAAATGGAGTGAATTAACAGATGCTGTCAGAACAGAAGTGCTGGGGCAGCATTTATGTTTTTAGTGCTCTCTCTGGGCAGATGAGTCGTGTAGGAGCCTTATACAGGTGCCTGGGGATGAAAGCCGTGCCTGTCGTTTCGGCGGATATGTATTCTTAACCGTTTTCCCGGACTATATTTTAAACGCCTTTATTACTCTTTTCATTCTCAGTGTTTGCTTATACGATTTTATCATTTCTGCCATTAATCTTGGCTTGAACTTGATTGTATCCTTTTGTGTTAAACCAGAGGGGATGAACGGCTCTCTGATACGCAAAGAGGACCGGGTTTCCCGTGAGCCACGGAAGCCGGCCACGGAAGAGCTTCGGAGCCTATTGGCCTTGTTTCTATTATAGCTGCGGTCCACGCAGCCGGCCTTCGATCGGACTCTCTGGGTTGCTGCTGTCCTGGAGAAGAGCATTGAGTTTTCATGCCCTAGACTCAGGCTTGCGTAGAATGAATGATACCCCCTGTTAGTTACATGAGATGGGATTTGGGGACTTTGCAAAAAAGGGAAGTGTAGCCCGGCTGGTGTGGCTCGGTTGGCTGAGCGTCATCTGTGCTCCGAAAGGCTCCCCATTCAGTTCCCGGTCAGGGCACATGCCTGGGTTGCAGGTTTGATCCCTAATTGGGGAGCGTACAGAAGGCAAATGATCGATGCTTTCTCTCTCCCTCTCCCTCTCCCTCCCTCCCCCCCTTCCTCCGGTAAGGATTAAAAAAAAGTCAGGGAAATGTAGCACAGAACCCTATCCTGTGTTGAGTGTACTGAAAGAACATCTCCCAGGAAGATTTCCATGACTTCAGTGCAGTATATAAATGCTACAAAATCAGTTGCCATGATTCGGGGAGCGATTTTACTCTACCTGTGTCTCGTTTTTGTGGCGGTGGCCATAAAGCCACCTACCGGTGAAGACAAGCATGCATGTCGTTTCTTTCCATCTCTGCCACCCATTTGGTAAGTGTGTCCTAAGAAGGTGCGATCACAAGCCTCTTTTTATTTTTTCATTCTTCTAGGCCTAAACCATAACCCCTCGGCTAAAATGTGGTTCTCACGATCAATCCCAGAGTTCCACAGGGATGTGTCATCTTCTAGACTCTGTGTTTTTTTGTTGTTTTTTTTTACCAGGGCACTGATTTAATCTCAAAAGCATGATTCATAATCCTTGGTCTTTTTTTAAAAAGTATTTTAAGAAAAATAGAGTGCCTATTTTGCAGATGTAAGAATTTAGAAATTCACCAGGCCCGTGTGTTTATGCATGTTTTCATTTTCAGCCCTGGCCGTTAAATAAGAATCGATAACATACTGGAAGTAGTTTCCTCTGTTGTATCCAATACAGTGGAAACCATCCATTGGATCTTTATGCCGTTTGGAAAGATACTCATTCAATACATATGCTCTTTTTGATCTCAGAATAAATAACTAACTCTTCCACGCTAGTAACACCGGCATCCAGCTCAAAGAGACACTCCACCTGGGAACAAATTTCATGAAGGGCCCCTAGAAGAAAAATAGATCAACCCATCAGTAATCCGGGACCCATCTTGTTTTTCTTTGGGCATATTTAAAACCGTGCCTTCTGCGTGTCCGAGTTCAAAAGTCAAGCGCCGCGCGTGATAAATTAGGTAGGGGGATCAGAAGCTCTCGCAAGGCAGTTTCGGGAGATGGCCTGACTCGGGACGCGAGCTCATTCATGCTGAAGCGATGCACCATGGGAATTACTACCCAGCCCTGCTCGGGAACATCTGCTCCCCCTAAGTGAGTTACTGCACGTCAGACGTCTTTATGTCAGAGCATCGCGGTGATGGATGCAGTCCCCAGAAAAGGCTGCATAAAAATCTGGTGCTCCGTTCTGGCCATTAAGTGAAATTACTATTTAAATTAATGGCACTGTCACAGTTTATCTGTGCAAAGAATGAACGCTGATTAGGGTATTAAGTAATTAGCAATTTATCACGCTGGAACAAGGTTGATAATAATTAAAGAAGTAATGGTTTACCGAAGGAGCGAGAAAGGGAGTCCCTTCTTGTTATGGGGGTGAGATCTTGGCTGGAAGTTTTAATTCAGTGAAACAAACAGGAGACTCTCCCTGAAAGAAGGCCTCTTCCCACCCCACCCCCCGCCTTTTTTTTTTTTAGCATTAAAACAAGTTCATTAATGAAATTTGAGTTGACCTGTCAAAAGCCCCTCAGAGCGGTCAGACGGCTGATTAGGAGTTTGGAATGAGGTCAGCGTCTGCATTTTGATTTTCTACTTAGAGCCTGGGTCCAGAACACAGCGTGGCAACCACAGTGCGTCACCTCATCAGTGAGCATGCCCAGTGGGGGCGGATCTGTCTCACGAAGGAGGAGCAGTTACTGTTCTTGCTGGATCCACAAGAACCTGTACCCTACACGAAGCCAGGCAGCCGCTTATGAGACGCACGCTGCAGCTTCGTCTTCGGCTCCAGGAAGGGCTGTCTCTCCCCTCTGCTGGCCACTTACCCCGGAGCACGTGGGCAGCCTTTCCTCCCCTGGGAATTCCTCCAGATTTCCTCTGTGTCCCTCTGTTTTAACCACCCTTCCTTCTGCTAGGACATGTCATCATCACAAAAGGGGCAGGAGATTCTCAGGCCGGAAATCAGATCTCTTTTTTTTAAATATGTTTTGATTGATTTTTAGAGAAAGAGGAAGGGAGAGGGAGAGAGAGAGAGAAACATCGATGAGAGAGAACCATTGTCGATCGGCGGCCTCCTGCACGCCCCCCACTGGGGATCGAGCCCACAACCTGGGCACGTGCCCTGACCCGGAATCAAACCGTGACCTCCCGGTTCCTGGGTCGATGCACAACCACTGAGCCACACCGGCTGGGCCAGAGCTTGGAGACGTTTGGCCCCGCCGACTGGTTTTGGAACACTTGCTCTTGTGTCTTCTTTAGCTAATTAGCATCCAGTGCTTTTGGTAAGAAAGCCCCCCCCACACACAGACACACTGCACATTTAAATCACCTTGCTGGGGACACCTTGTTGGCTATTGTACCATTTGAGCCATTGCCTGATTCTGGCTTCTTTTATCCCGAACTTCACAGCCCCCTCAGCCTTCTTCCCTTTCTCGAATGTCCTGTTCACATGCGCGTTGCACCGTTGCAGGGATGCTCTGCTGCGGGCAGGATTATGTGAACGCGTCAGATACCATATGCTGCTCGGCCTCCAGCGGAGCCTCTAAACCACACGTTAGGAAGAGCGACCCGGTGCCAGTAAAATGCTGCGAGACCGAGCCTGTCCCAGGGAGCCGGGGCTGCTGCAGCGGCCTTGGATGCGGCCCCCCGAAATACCTCGGCTCTGACAAGGCTTCAGCCCCAATGACGACGCAGGTAATGGGCAGAAACCTTCTTGGAGTACGTGCGACACTGTGAACCTACCTTTTCCCACCCTGCAGTGACTTGTATATATCCCTGTAATTCGGGAAGATGAAATAATTTACTTTCTGAGATTCGGACATATTAGTATTTATAAATCACTATAAAAAAATCCAGAGAATCATCAGAGACAGGGTTTTCAAATATAAAAAATAATTACAACGACAGTTCATGGGCTACTTGGATTTTCACTGGGTGGGGAACGTGTCTCACGGGTCATCCTTTCCCAGCAGCCCGGGACAGACAGGTCCCCAAATATGTCCTTATTTTTTCAGAAACTCCATTAGGAAAGGGTCAAGGTAACAATAATGAAATAATTGATGCTGTTATTAATTATAGGGCATCTACTGAGCGTGAGGCATTCCCTGGTGTTCTTTGAGTCGCACAACAAGCCTTTGCGCTCAATTTAATTTTAATGTTCTCACAGAAGCAGCCGAGGCTTGGAGAGGGTATGTGACTTGCTCAAGGTCACAGCACTAGGAATTCGTTTGACAGATTGGCTCTTGATCCAACAATAAGTGCTGTTTCCAGGACACAAACTGCCTTTGTTTCTTGTTTATGAATTTTGAGATTCATTCATGAACTGGGTGGAAGAAAACTTCATTTCAAAGGTATAAAACTCGACCCCACGAGTGTCTAAATGGGATTGTAAAGTCCTCTCCCCCCCTCACCCATCCCTGCCGCCCGGCTTAGGAGACCGATGTGTGCAGGACCGTCTGCCCCGCGTCTGTGGAGGCGCATGGCGGCCAGTGTGACTTCAACTTGACCAGCCCCATGTGCACGGTGATCGGAGGGTCCCCCAGTTCTGCCGAGAAGGCATCGGTGGGAGACATGTGCTCCTCCGTGGAAGAGCCCGTTCACACGGGAGGTGCGGACACGGTGTCCTTTACGGGTAAGAGAAAGGGAGCCACTGCCCATGGCGCAGGAGGGGAGTGAAGAGCTGCCGAAACGCAGATTCATTTCACCCTGTCTGTCTGTCTAGATGTGGACCTGGAGCCCTACACGACGTATGAGTACAGGGTTTCGGCCTGGAACGGCTACGGGCGCGGCTTCGGCGCTGCCGTTAGGGCCAGCACGAGAGAAGACGTGCCTCGGGGAGTGAGTCCCCCCCGGTGGGTCAGGACGGACAACCCTGAAGACGGAATAGTCCTGACCTGGAAGAAACCCGCACAGCCAAACGGTACTAAACTGCTCTGACAATAGAAATGCCGTAGTCCCGTAAATCCACGAGCAGATTGGAGTGAGTGTGATCGACACGTGATTGGCATGCACCTAACCCCTGAAAAGCGCTCCCTGACAAAGTGGACTTGAGGGATGGATGTGCCAGCTGGTCATTCATTGAGTGCCATAGGCCTCAGGCATTGTGAGCCCCCCATTTTTTCCCCTTGAAGCCCAGCCTATATCTGGGTTGCTCTAAAAAACAAAAAAAAAAACAAAAAAAAGACAAAGCGTGTTATGGGAAGACAAAATAGTTTTAATATTGAGAGTAAATTTGCTTGCTAATGAGGGGAAATAAACATAAATGACTCTTTGGCTACGTCGAGAATCCATCTCCTCCGTAAGAGTGGGTGTAATTAAGAACGGCTGGAACGTAGCAGTGCGATAGCAAATGGAAATTAAATAATGCTAGAGCATCCCATTCCGTCAGAACGCGAAGACATGTACGTTGTCTGCAAATAGTGACAAGGACCTGCCGCTCAGATGCAAGCCTCTCCCTGCCTCTTTCAGGTCCTGTCGTTTACTACGTCCTCCGAAACGGAACGGAAGTATTCCGGGGAACGTCATTGACCTTCTTGGATACAGAGGGGATTGAGCCTTTTCAGGAATATACGTACCAGCTGAAGGCTTGCACGGTGGCTGGCTGTGCCGCCAGCAGCAAGGTAAGGGGACCCTGCCTCCAGTCTGGACGAAGTTATCCACTGTGAAGACCGTCTAGGTTGGGAGGGATCTTGCCAGCGACAGAATGCAGCATTTCTCTCGATACCGTGTTAAGTGGGGTGTCCCTGTGGCATCTCGACTGAGCACTAATACTTACGCCTGAAAGTAGAGGTCACTGGCCCTGGCGGGGTGGCTCAGCTGGTTGGAGCATCGCCCCGTACACCAAAGGGTTGTGGGTTCAATCCTTGGTCTCGGGGAGCTTATGAGAGCTTCTCTCTCCCTCTGCCTCTCCCTCTCTTCTTTCCTTTCTCTCTAAAATCAATTTAAAAAAAAAAAATCCAGAAAGTAGAGATCACCATAGGCAATGAGCATTGGGGAACGCTGCCAAACGAAAGCAAAAAACCTCACCAAGGGCCTAGGAGAGACAAACACTCCAGGAGGGCAATGAAGAAAGAGCCATTATCCCCAAGGACACCCAGGAGAACACGGACTCACACAGGACAGCCCTGATCTTTACATGCAGTTACGTTTTCAGAAGAACAGCACCTCCAGACCCTGTGCAAGACCATCCAAGTCAGACATCCAGCCAGGCTGGGTTCATCTTTACAGTCTACAGACCCCCTAGAAATATGTCACCCCCTGGGACAGATGGCAGCCGACAGTCCCAATCAAAAGTCAGCATCTGCCCCGGCTGGGCGTGGCTCAGCGGTTGAGCGTTGACCTAAGATCCAGGCGATCGGGGTTCGATTCCCGGTCAGGGCACAGGCCCGGGTTGTGGGCTCGATCCCCAGTCGGGGGCGTGCAGGAGGCAGCCGATCAATGACTCTCTCATCGTTGATATTTCTATCTCTCTCTCTCCCTCTCCTTTCCTCTCTCTGAAATCAATAAAGATATATTTAAAATTTTAAAAAAGCATCTGAACAGTCCTGGAAAAATTCTATGCTTCCTGCACAGGCACAGTTCATGCCTAGCAGATGCCCCCAAAATTAGTAAAAGGTAAAATCAGAGTAAATTCTATGAAAACAAAACAAAACACAAATGCAGCCTTTTTTCGCCCAAAGCCGTATTTCGACAGCGTTGGACAAATAACGGGTTGGTTGTATCTTTTGTTTCCTCCTGCCCGATTCTTCTAGAACCTTGGTGCAGCCTGTAGAGTCACCCCAGGGATCATAGGAAGAGCAGGAAAAAGTCCCCCCTTTTATACTGTTCAAAGCATATTCTGCGCTGGCAAGTTCAGATGTGACTTTTACTCCACATTTGCCGGCGCTTAAAATGTACCAAATCAGGCTGTTAAAATGCAAAGACACTCATGGGCCATATGGAACAGAGTTATCAAGAGTTGTCTGGGAAGACAGTGTGCCAGCCAGGCCGGACTTGTTTAAACGGGGGGCTGCCCTCCGCCGTCAAAACCTTGTTGAACCTGTTGTGATAAACGGTAGCCCGAGACTCGTGCGATGCGTTCAAGGTCAGGCGTCATTGTGTCAGCGGGATGGGAGGAAAGGAATCGGAGAAGGGGGCTGCTTCTCCGAGCCCCCGCTAATGCTCTGCCAGGCCAGCCAACCACGTTTTCAAACAAAAGTGACACCCTCATGGGTGGGGACGCCTCGTATACGCGTATGATAAATGGCTGTTTAATTCCCATGTTGCAGGTGGTCGCAGCTACTCCCCAAGGAGCCCCGCAGAGCATCCTGCCCCCGAGAGTCACGGCCCCCAGCGCGGACGCTCTGCGCTTGAGCTGGGACGCCCCCGAGAAACCAAATGGCGTCGTTAAGGAGTACCAGCTCCGGCAGGCTGGGAAAGGGCTCATCCACACGGACACCGCCGACAGGAGGCAACATACGGTCACAGGTAAAACCCACCGGAAGAGTCTGTCGCCGTGGGGAGGGGGCCGAGCATCCCAGGGGCGTGTGCGTGATAGACGAGGTCACTTTGAAAGGACGCGTTCTCTTGACATATGGTCAGATCCCACTTACCACACTAATCGAGGGACCCACACTGACAGCAATAAGCCACAACAGCAGATAACTTCAGAGATAATTTATACTTGGCTTGGATGTGCATTATGTGTAGGGGTTTGACGTCAGTATTCCGTGTTTTTGTTGTGTTGTTGTTGTTTTTTCAGACAATCAGTAAGGTGCATTTTCATTCCCCAAGGATATACTCATAGATATAACAGGGCTGGGGTAGCCAAGACCATATTGGGAGGCAGGGAAAAAAAAATCAGCCAGAGGCCAACGTTTATCTACCAGGTTGGTAATTAATACACAGAATAGTTGACAGTTGACTGGTTGTGACAACTTGTTATTAACATCAATTAATAATTGCATTATTTTTATTGTTTATTATAGCAGTTTATAATTAGCTTTGATAGTGTAATAATAGTACAATATAATAGTATAATGTTAGATAATTAGCAGCAGTGATTATAATAATAATTAACATGTTTTAGCTTGAATGTCACTTCTGTAGGAGGGAAGGATTCTCTGACGTCCCCAGGCTGGCTGTGGCTTCCCTGACACGCCACCCTGTCACCTGTGTCATTGTCATGGTCGGCCCCTCGCTGACGTTTCCGTTCGTGTCCTATCTGCCTTTTCGTATCTCTTCCTGCTGGAATGTGGTCTTTAGGGGGGTTTCCCTCCCCTAGGTCTTCCTTTCATTGTCATTTTTAATGGATAACTTTACATCAAAGAGGATTTTACGCACGTGAGTGCATGCCCGAATTCTTCTTTTATTAGAGTAAACACTTTAAAGTTTTTCCCACGTAATCTGACTTTTTACAAAATTATAAAATGGAAAGAAGTCGTTCGAATCCAGTCGGCCCGTCGGTACTGTTTTCGGCAGCTTTAGACAGCGCGTCCCTTGGGCAGTCCAGCCCTAAAGGGACGAGTTCTTTGTTGAGAGAAGAAATAAACCTCATTGGGCAAAACCTGACCAGGCCCAGAGCCACCCACGTGTAGCCCCGTGGGACAGGATTGGTGCTGGGTGGCGTCAGACGACCTAAAACCCGACGTCCATGCAGTGTGGACACATTTTATCTGCCAGGCAGGATCCAGCACCGCGGCCAGCAGCCCGGCCAGCACCCCGCAGAGCTGCTTTGCGACACCAATGGCCGTTTCATGGAGCTCATGGGATGAGCGACACTCAGCAAGTGCATTTCACATCTCATCTCCGACGTTTGATGGAAGAGCCGCCCGAAGCCCCTGGGATGAGTGCTTTGCTTTTCCCATCTTTTCCCAAACCCCGGCATCCGCCGAGCGACCGCCGATCACTGATGAAGCGGGAGCTCTCGCCGTCCCCGAGCCTGGAATCCGGGTCCCGAGAAACGACGGCAGGGGAGCCGGGCACCCTGCCTCAGCCCCGTCGTCGCCCTGCTTATTTTTAATTACCTCGGAGCTTTAGCAACATGATCCCCTAAATGGTCTGTGGGAATAGCGGCGAAGGCACTCATCACGCGAAATCCATAAATTGCTTATAATCCCCTCAAGATGTTAAAAAAAGCATTAAGTAATTGAAGACAGGAAGTCCTCGGTTAATTATTTAGCGGCGTTATCAATGCCTTAAGTAAACCGACGCGTGTCCTGCTATCTCACTGAGCCGGGCCCCGTGGGGACCGAGGCGCGGCCGCCACCGGCTTCTCATATTCGCTAATGCAAACAGCACATGGCAGCTTGTCAATAACAGGCCTCTCCGTCGCCCCGGTCACTGAACGCGCCAGCGGCCTGCGCGGGACCGTCGGGCTGGCAGCGATGGCGCGGTTTCGCTCCGGGTCACCGCCGCTGTCCACGGGGGGCCTCCCGGTGTCGGCGCCGGGGCGGAGGCAGGGAAGAGGGATTAACGAAATAATTAGGGCCACTGAGGACAGAATGAATTAATCATGTCCCCTTTAGCAGCTGATACGATCAGGGCTTATGTGTCTCTTAACTCCAGGGGAAATGTTTTTTAAAAATTCATTAAAAGTTGCTCCTCGCTGCATTTCACTTAAGAGGGAAAACACACCGGCGTCAGCGAGGAGAGGGGTTTGCCTTCTGTCACCATCCCCTGGGAGGCCCGGGAAAGCCGCCTGCGCTCAACCAGGTCCACGGCCCTCGTCAGGGCAGAAGAGCGGCTGCGAACAGCCCGGAACAGAGACCACTTTGGGAAAAGGGAGAACCTAGTGTGACCATCGAGATCCCAAAATGTGGGAAATTTTTTATAAAGGGGTTTTACCTTTAGATAACTCTGTGTGTTCCCATAGTGTCTGTCCCACATCCTGCTATCATAGCTTTTATTAGACTTTGTGGCTGCTTCCTTTAGCTCTCGTTTCTGTTCCTCAACTATCAGGTAAAGCTTTAAAAAAAAAAAAATATATATATATATATATTGATTTCAGAGAGAGAGAAACATCAATGATGAGAGCCATTGATCGGCTGCCTCCTGCACGCCCCCCACTGGAGATCAAGCCTGTAACCCGGGCCTGGGCCCTGACCGGGAATCGAACCGTGACCTCCTGGTTCATACATCCTCGGTTAATTATTTAGCGATGTTATCAATGCCTTAAGTAAACCACTCAACTACTGAGCCACGCCGGCCAGGCAGTAGGTAAAGCCTTTTAAGGAGAGAGACAATAGCCTCATGTTCTAGAAGAAGGCATTCGGATTGAGTCGCGTGCCCCCCGAGGGACCACAGAGGCCAGGAAGGAGGCTTGCTCCAAGACTCCCAGGCATCGTCATCGTCATATTTCAGGGCTATTTGGTAATTCTTTAGACTATAACAGATGACACTGCAGAATGACTGGATGAGAGCTTCGAAGGAGCGCTGGCTATCCAAAATTATAGCAGACACAATGCCTTTTCCTGGCTATTTATCTGGAGATTAAAAATTAGAAACAAGCTGTTTCTTATAGAGTGCATCACACGTCACTTCCATAGGCATGGGTTTTGTTTTCCAAGTCATATTTTTATGGCCCACAGGCAGACTTTTCATGGTCTCCTTTCAACACACATTTACTCTTGAAAGTAATGATACTTGGAAGGGTAATTGCGATGAGTTTGGTTATAATATGCCTCTTTCCTTAAAAAAAAAATAAAGAACAAGATTCCCTGTGGGCAGATCCGGGTAATTTGCAGACACAGTAATAATCTTCACTGCACCGAAATGTTAAATGCTAGGCTTTTTCTCCATTCATTTGCCTTTCCCCCCCTACACACTGTTTCCTACTCTTTTAATTCAGTGCCGAGCCCCTGAGTGATGTTTTCTGTTCTCCTGCTCTTCGACTCCAGGATTAAGTTACAGTCAGAAGGGTTCCTTGGAGACATCTCTCTACTTCCCTCTCCTCGCCCTGATCAATTCACGAGTACTTTCCAATTGGCGTGCCCTTTTCATTGCCTGTTGCTAATATTTCATATATATCTCATTTTAAGGACTACCAATAGAGACTTACTTAAAATGACAGCAAATTCCGCTTGAAATGTGTTGGTTTTATTGAGTCGTACAGGGTCATCTATATGAAGGGACATCTAGTTCATGTAAATCATCCACGCCTCATGGCAGCGGGTGCTGTGCTTGCAGGGTGTTTGAACCAAGCCCGCGGGTAACCCAGCCCCCTAACAATATGGAAAATACAGGACCTGAAAAATAGAATATAGGAAATGGTGGATTCCGATATCGCCTTCTCCAAAATTAGCCTGCAGCCCATAAGCAAGTCTACACTCTCCGTCGTGCCCACAGTTTACAGATGTGGAAACTGAGGCACCCAGAGGTCATACAACTTGCCCATGGTTATAGTTACTAGACAGGTAGAGGTTAGAACCCAAAGAGTCTAATTTCAGACTCTTTTCTCCGACAGCCATGCAATACTGAGTCAGTGCCTGAATTGCAGTAATATTTAAAATTGTGTTTAAAATATACCCACTTGGATTTATATATATATTTATATGTTTATATGTTTATTATATTTATATATATATATTTATATGTTTATATATNCAGTAATATTTAAAATTGTGTTTAAAATATACCCACTTGGATTTATATATTATATATTTATATATTTATATGTTTATATATTTATATATTATATTTATATAAATAATATAAATATAAATATAAATATAAATATAAATATAAATATAAATATAAATATAAATATAAATATAAATATAAATATAAATATATATATTGCTGGAAGTTTCACTGGGCTTTGAGCTACCTATGTCATCGTTTTCCATATAATAACTGCATTTCCTTGAAAAATAACTGCATTTCTTATAAAATATGTTCAGTTAGTACACAGAGTGCAGTGAATAGAGAAGTAAAAGTAGAACAACCTGAGACCCGTTGAATTCTCATCGACATATGTGACTTCACTTTCAGGGGCGATGCTGGTGTCGGACAAGCAGAAAAAAAGTCTAGAGACTATTTATTATTCCCCAGTTATATTAGTCTTTTTAATAGCCTGCACCCAGAGGAGATTCGGTCGCTCAACGAATAGATGCCGCGGGCAGGGATACGTATGAAATTATGAGAAAGGGCCAGTTTGGCCCGGTCACTCTTGTGATGGGCGTCGTGGGTGTACACTGTCTCCTCGCAGCCCTGCCATCCCTGTGGAGCACTTTCGTGTGCTTGGTCTTCTTTAAACGATATTTCACAAGCAATGGACATTTAAAATAGGCGGTATTGAGAAATAATGGTGAGAAATAAACCTCAGGATACCACCCTTGTTCTCAGACTGCTTACGTTCTAAGCGAGAAGTGAGATACTCAGGTGAACGGTGCTCTAAGGGTCAAGACCCCCCTTTTCCAGTAGTGGCAGGACGTGGGGTCCTCATCAGGCTAAATCAGCTTTTGCCACTGCAGTCTCTGTCCTTCCTGGATGCGTCCTACCTATTTTTTAAATTTTTTTCGAGCTCTATATTTTATCATCGTTAGCATTTTCCCATAAGCTTTTATCAGACGTACATGGCTCGGGTGTGACTTGGATCTTTCATCCCGCTCCTCATCTGCAAATCAGGCGGAGATCAAAATCGTGTAAATGCTCCATCGCACCCAGATGGGCGATTGCGGTCGCATCAGTATCTGCATCTTTTCATTAAACCGATAAGGAAACACAAAGGGCTTTGAAGCTGAGTCCTGGAGCGGCTCCAGCTACACAACATGAGCGCTTTAGCTGAGAACCCAGGCCACGGCTCCCAGTCTCAGTGAACCAGCTGATTAATTATTTTTTTTTAAATGCATCTTTATTGTTTAATTTATCTTTACCACAACATAAGAAAAGACTTTCAAACAAAACAAGAACCCTGGAGCGCTCTGAAGGTGGGACGGGCTCTTTAGGAGTCAGAGGGCTCCCATCTCCTGAGCAGGGCCGCCTCTCCAATGACACCCCATACAGGGAGATCAAGAAAAAAGGTGCATGGCTGGGGTCCGTGGAGGCTAAGATCTCTTCTAAGGCTGAGAATTTATCATTTCATCAGTGATTCGTGAAATGTCCATTAGTACTGAACTGCTTATGAAGTTCCTCTCTTCTTTTAAAGAGTGTTTTCTGCTCTTAAAAAAATTTTGGATGTCGTATCGACAACTCTGCATGTTGCTTCTGCTGCTTAGCTGATAATAAATAATCCTCTCCAGATGAACTTTATTTCTGGTTTGCTCTTTCTAGGTCTCCAGCCGTACACCAGCTACAGCTTCACTCTTACAGCTTGTACATCTGCCGGGTGCACTTCGAGCGAGCCCTTTCTAGGTCAGACTCTGCAGGCAGCACCTCAAGGTAATTAAAAATACCCGTGATTTGGGAGAAGACGTTTTCCTGTGGCATTTTAAAGTAAACTCGCCAAGCTCTTGCATAATGAACTGGGAAGAAGGCATAAAGTCAGTAGGTACAAAAGAAAATAATATTCTAGGTTTTCATTCTTCAGGTTTGGTTCAACTCTGTGCCTCCCCAGTTAACGTTTGCTTTCAATTCTTTTTGACCCTTTTAGACTTAGGATTCTATAAAAGTTACTATTCTTATGGACTGGGATATGAAATTCCTCCAAAAATCAAAAGTTGAATATTTCTGGGGTGCCTGATAGAACAAGTACCATGCTCACTGCTGAGGTTGACTTGCAATCAAGTAGACGTGATAGGACAGGTACCCAAACCCATAGGAAGAGGGCGAGTCCAGAAGGTGACCTTCAGAGAGAAGAGGTGAGCAGGGTGCTCAGGCTAATCTGAGAGGGGGGTAATGACCGCCCATCCAGACACCCAGAGAGAGTTCATGGAGCAGTCAGTGGACTTCGGGGGTGGACCACGAGCAATACGGATTCTAACCGATGGACCGTGGAGGAAACTTGCAAACATGGGGAATGTAAAGTGGGACCATCGCCTCAGAAGGCAAATTGGCATTAAGTTTACAATGCTGATTCCCCGTGACACAGCAGTTTCGTTGTAATTATCTGTGCCAGAAAATAACTTTTCCACAACTGCTCCAGGAGGGGTGTACCAGGCTGCGTGTTGAACCGTGTTTTGTTTGTCTAATGGCAGATGTTGGAAGCAATCTCAATGTACCCGAGTAGGGGAAATGCCAAATAAATTCAGGTATAGTCACACTGTGGTATTTCACGCATCAGTTTTAAAAAATGAGATGGATAATCCACACATATAAAGAGGGAGTTAATAGAACTCCATTAATATATGGTATTTATGTGTATAAAAAGCATACATAGAAAATGATATTTATTTCTATAGGTAAATAAATGCACAGACAAATTCTGGGAGCGTATACACCCATCTGATAACAGTGGTTGCTTACGGGTTGGGAACTGGGTGGGTGGTATCATCTACTTTTAGGAAAAAAAACATGCTCAAAAGCTCGGACTGGTGCTCAACGAATTATTTTTAAAAATGTATTATCTGCCTGTTTTGCATGTGGGGGAAATAGAGGCCTAAATAAGTCTCTAAACAAATGTAATGTGAACTAACATCGTAGAGTGCTGAACCACTTGTCCATGACTCTGCTAATGAAAGGGGTTGTTGCACCTCAGAATATTAGACCTGAAGTTCCTACCAGTAAATGGGGAGTAAAATGGAAAATTCCACATAGGGACATATGGCTCCTCCCCAGGAATTCACTAATGATGTTTTCTATATAAAGAATGCTTCATGTCAAAAAGCTTAGTGTTCCTTTGAAAGGAAGAAACCAGCAGTGGATTTTTTGGAAAGGTAAACTATCCAATGGATACTTTGATGGTAATGGATACCTTCTAAAGGATCCACCAGCCATTTTTTTGGCTGAAACTCAAGCCTGATAAAATAACAGGGCCTCTTCCTCCAGTTTGCTCACGAAATCCATACATTTAAATTATTAGAAGATAAATGTCTATTTTCCCACAGACCCGACAGCCTTTCTTGACTCAGATTTCCTGACTTAAAAATTATAGCTTTCAACAACGCAGGGGAGTGTGAGATGAGAAATGCTATCCTTGAGTTCCTTTTTTTTTTTAACTTTAGGCACTTTTCCTTGAACACAAATAACTGTGCAGAGGAGTAATAAACTAAATGGGCTTTTCTCCACCGAAGAAATGTGGATTTAGGATCCATTTTCTGGCTGCATTAAGTGCCATTTGTGAATAAGTTGTATGTGGAATAGATGTAGTTGGCACATTTAACTGGAGGGTGTAAGGAAACCAATCGCCAGTAACATTAAGTTCTGTCGTTCTGTAGGATGGAAACAAACATGGCATTTTAAATCAGTAACCCAGACACCACTAATTATAAAATGCCTATTCGAGTGAATTAGACGTAGATTGAAGGGCTAACATTTGAGTGTCCTATGTGGATTTGGAGAGAAATAAAAGAAGCATTTGTTCAGAGCCACCCTGAGCTCCTCCCATTTCTCTCTCATTGTCAATCTTAGAAACAAAGGGGAAAAAGTTAATGTTTATTACGACCTCATTGATCAGTTGGACGCAATCCTCTACAATTTTAGCCTCATAGAAAATTGTGTTCCTTTAGCAAATAGTGAGATGAGTTGGGATGGTTGCTTTCTTTGTAGAATGGCTGCCCAACACAGAAAATGACATGACATTGGGTAGAATGCCAAATGAATAAATTAGTAAATAGTACATAGTCCGGATGTCAATGCATCCTGGACATCAGCTAATAGAAAATTGGTTCCCTTCACCTTATTTCAGGAAGAAAAAAAAAGCCAATCCACAATACATGTTGGGATTTTTCTGTTGAAATGAAGGTGTAGAGGGAACATGAGAGTGGGTGATATCACAAGGCATTCAAGATACATGTCAAACAAACCCAGTAGACCCCTTCCTTTTTAGGTGGTTACCATGTCAAGAGGCCCACCAAGGTCTCCTTCTGGAATTTCACTCTTATGCTCCCAGCTAGCTTACGTACTCAAGGTAATTTCCCTCATGACCACGTAAAGTTTTCTTCCCTTGAGTTGCCTTAACTCAGCCTTTCTACTATGTAAAATAGGCTTCTGATGCCACCTGAGACTCAGGCTCAACGAGGGGACAGACTCTCCATCTGGGGCTCTCATTAAGACATCTCGCCAAAGGTGGTCTTACTCTGTCAAAGATTCCTTGCAGCTGCCAAGGTGACACTGTCTCCATGTCATTATATAAGTCAAAACACAGCCCTTGTTTTTTCACATGTCAGTCTCCTCTTATAAATCAAACCAATGGCCACAGGATTTTGATCAACATGAACAGAGCTTGTTCACATGTGAAACTCAATTTTTACCTAAAACGTGGAGCAAACCCAAAATGTTGCTTCATTTTATTTCGTTAACTTCTCCAAATCCACAGGCTGCATTGACTGGTTCAAACTGGAAACTAAGAAATAGTCTTTTTCATATCTTGGTGATTTTTTACATATGTTTTTATTGATTTTGGAGAGAGGAAGGTACAGGGGGGGAGAGAGAGAAACATCATGGATGAGAGAGTCATTGATCGGCTGCCTCCTGCATGCCCCTTACTGGAGATTGAGCCTGTAACCTGGACATGTGTCCTGACCTGGAATCGAACCCTGATCTCCTGGTTCAGAGGTTGACACTCTACCATTGAGCCACACCAGCCAAGCTCTTGGGGATTTTTAATACATCCTTCAAGGTGAGAAAGACTTGACTTCAGGAAGAAGATTATGAGTGAATTTTTGTACTTTCTGTTAAATCAACAAATTAATATCATGTTTAAGTCAGAACTGTAATTAAGTGGTTGAGTCATCTCATGGCTGTTGGCAGAGAAACTCAGAAGAAAAAAAAATGTATACGATGATTTGTAGATTTGTCCAAATATTCAACACAGAGCAAGCTTTCAGGACAAAATGAACTGCTTTCTTCTCAGGAACAAGTTGTTCCGTAGAAAATCAGTACGTTTTATGCCATTTTGAAATTGACCTTGATTCGTTTGGGATGTTGCTAAACACATTGTATTTGAATTTCCTGAAAATTGTTTTTTTTTAAAGTTTCAGGATCTTACCCTTAACTGAGTAACTTAGGAGAGAGTCAAACAAAAACTTGTGGATGGAGACAATGGTGCCAGGTAGGCCAGAGGCAGAAAAATGTAGGGCCACACAGGCTAGCACAAGGAGTTGAAATTATATGAATAATTATATGAATAATTTTAAAAGGGTTGTATATGTTATAAAGATCGCATTGGCATGCATATATATATGTATATATTATGCACTTTTATAAAGATCACAATGAAATATGGCTGTAAAGATATAGGGAACGATAGGCATTTAGGTTATAATCTGCAGGACTTAATGATAGGTTATATTCAGAGGTGAGAAAAGTGATAGCCTCAAGAATAATTTTTTTGCCCAATAAAATGGACAGACAGACACGATCGGGAAATGTGCAGATTATAGACAGGAAAATCAGGAGTTCTGTTTTGGAGGTTTTAAGTTTTCTCTATATAATTAGTCATCCAAATGGAGGTGTCAGGTAGACAGTTAGATTCATGAGCCTGAAGCTCGGGAGAGAGTTTTAGTCCAGTTATTGGCACTTGGGAGTGTTCAGCATAAAGATGACTCCGAAAACCGAGACTCAGTGGGGATCTCCTAGGAGGTGGCTTTTGGAAAAGAAGAGGGGGACGGCCTCCCTGTCTGGGGACTATGCCACTTTGAGGTCCCCTGGGGAGGTGGGGCCTGTGGGGCTGGAAGGAGGGGCTTAGAGAAAAGGCAAAAAGAAACAACAGAGGGCGACAGAGGCAGAGAGAAATCATGTTTATTTGGTGACTTGGATAATTCAGGTCAATACCAGGTGATGTCACTTTCACGCATCCGTCAAATCTTGATTGCATTCAGAGTGACAGCCAAGGCAGGGAATCCCCCATCCCTGCTTGGATGGCGTTCGCTCCTTAAAGGCAATTCCAGAATAAAACAATCCAAGCCCAGTTATGCATTTTGCCTCCAAAGAAAACCAAGAGTCTTGCTGCCGCTCACCCCGAGATTGTTTTATCAACAGAGAAAAGGATCGGAGCATGGGAGGTGACGCGGGGACTTTGGGTAGAGTGTTTCCTTTACCCCAGCACTGAACACTCATCGTGTCGTTTCTGCCAGGCGTGTGGGCGACACCCCGACACATCATCATCAATTCCACAGCGGTGGAGCTGTGCTGGGGTCCCCCGGACAAGCCCAACGGCCTCGTGTCGCGGTATCGGCTGAGTCGCGACGGAAGCCTGGTTTTCCTGGGTGGCAGCGAGGAGCAGCGTTTCACCGACGGCAACCTGCGGCCCAACAGCAGGTGACCCAGAAGGAAACTTCACCCATCGTGCAGCTAGGTTTTTAGATTTTTCAGGCATGAAAAGACTGTGCCTCCCACTGAACCGATAGGGAATTAATTAGTTCATCTCACTCATTAGCCATCGAATAGCCGATGAGGTCAGTGGACCCAGTTCCGATGGCGGTGACACAAGTGCTAACTCCTTACGTTAGTCTTGAGAACCCGGGGGACTCTTTAAAAATCTTCTAGATGACTTGAACACTTGAGAATGTTGACGCAGACAAAATACACAAATTATTCAGCTTTAAAAATGACCCTGTGTTCAAAAGCATGCATTCCTCAACCAGCAATGAAAGAAATGGAAAGGGCCTTGTTCGTCAACTCCCTTTTCTTTCGGCGCCGTGTGTTCTCTGCTCGCTGCATGTAATAGACCTGAGTGATTTTGGGGGGCAGATGTCCACCTGTTTGCAAGTCATACCCATTCATTTCTCAGCAGAGACAAAATATATTTAAGATCAGCAGATGCCCTGTTGCCGAGAATAAAGATGGATTTGGCTTTATTGTAGAGAGTAGGAGATCGGTTTGGAAACTGCTCCCTCTAAATATATTGCCCTGAACTCTCGCCCATTTGAAAATGGGGCAGATTAATTGGGTCCCTCCACAGTGCGCAGCACGCCCTGGGGCTCTCCTGAAATGGCGAAGAAAAGCCTCAAATTGCTGGGGCGTTAAAATAAAGTCGGGAGGGGAGAGAGAGTAATGGCCTGGGGACAGCGGTGCCCGTGGTAGACCCACTACCAAGTCGGTGGTGCAGTTTCTGGACAGGGGCAGGGACTTCGCAAGTTGTCCCAAGTGTAGGGCTAAGCAATGGGGAGAAGAACAGCCACCGTTGTTCAGTTCTCCCGCGCATTGCCTTGCAACAACTTTTTTTTCCCCCCGATATAGATACGTTTACAAGTTGGAAGCCACAACTGGAGGTGGCAGTGGTTTCAGTGACGAGTACCTTGTCCAGACACCTCTTTTGACCCCAGAAGAAGTCCAGCCTCCGTACAACATCACAGTGACCGGGCCTCATTCCATATTCATAGCCTGGAACCCCCCAGGTAAAGAAAGAAAGTGCGTGTGTGTGTGTAAAACATTTTAGAGGAAATTAACTGGCAATAAAGATGGGTATCTATTAAGTATTAATAATTTAGTGAATTTAGTAAATCAGAAGGAGATCATCTGTTTCCTGGGTGATATAAACAAGATAACATAAACCACGCTTTTGCAGGTATGCGCACATAGGTAAACATACACACATACATACGTACACGCAGATATAGACATAGGTATGTAAAGATGCAGAGATACACAGATACACGTTGTTGTATCAAAGCCACACTTTCAGGTACCAGAGCCTAAAAATGTCACCTTGTTCGCATATATCCATGGAATCGATTCTGCTTCTCTCGGGATAGCGTCGCTGCCTTGCGACCTGGTAGCAGATGACCCCTTGGCATTGTAATAGTCCCTTCGGGGTTTTGTGCCGCAAAGAAGAGAGCCAGCCTGACACCAGACCCACCCTGCGGACCGGCCGTTTCCGAGCCTCACTCCAGGGTCTCCCGCCAGCCAAACTCTCGAGAGCAGTGTGGCCAGGAGGCGCCCTGGCTGGGCCAGTTACCTGTCCTTTTAACAGGATCACACACGCACGTGGCCATTGCCCATCCGAGGGCTTCACGCTTAGTGAGGATCTGAAAACCTATTTCTTTTAAGACAACCAACGTGAGGATGAGTGGAAAAAACCAGAATTCCTGTCCCAGGAACGCCACCTGTTAGCCGACCTTAAGCCATTTCTCTCTCTCACCTCCGCCTGTAAGTCGGTGAAAGGACGGTACCTGTGTGGGGGGTGCTTAGAAACATGGAGGTAATTCCTGGGATTGGCATTATCTGGTTTATAATATTCTCTAGATAGCGCCGGTTATTTTCAGATGAACTGTTTTTGCCTTTAATTACTCATTTCTTTTCAAATGTGTTTGCTCCAACATCTGCTAGATCCCAAGGCCCCCATTTTTGTAACGATAAAACCGCCGACTGCGGGACTGGGTTAGTCCATTTTTAAGGCTTCTTTCACATTTCCCAGCATTTTGCCATTTTTTTTGTTTGAGTTCGACAGCGAATATTTGCGTTCAATGGAAAACGTTTCCACTTAGAAAGGGATCATTGTGACATAAAACACAACTTTTGATGCCTTAATGGAATCTTAACTCTTGGCTCCCGGAAGCTTTGCAGAAATTGTTCTAACCCAGCCCAGGGGCTGTTGCAGAGATGCTTCTCCCGCCAACTCTGACCGTGTAGCCGATGGTTAATAAATCTATAATACCCAGACCTGTCAATCTTGTCGTTTCAGATGCACAAAATCCATTACAGAAACCCTGTAATATATGGAAAGATTAAAATCTTAAATTACACTTTTTTTCCCGGTGCCTAGAAGGATTTTGAACTCAGTAAACAGGCAGATGATTTTGACTCGTGTATAATCTACAGTTGATTTTATTGGAAAGTACCTCATGCTGGGTGTTGATTTGGATACTAAAAATATTTTCCTGTTCCTGGATTGCCACAAATATATATTTTAAACGGAAAGAAAACAAACTTGTAATGACTGGAGGTTGTTTATTTGCGTTACAATCAAGAGCTTTCTAGGCGTTCATCTCAGTCCCGTGCCATTACACTATGATTACTCCATGGGCAGAGCTGAGAAGTGGGCACAACTGTCCAGACCTGTAGTTTCTATACCTGAAGGAACATAAGAATCACCTGGAAAGCCTGTGCAAAGATAGGCTCTCAACCCCAAGTCTACTGAGGAAGAATCTCCTGTTCCGTGAGCTCAGTGAGACGGCATGTGAACTGTTCAGTGGGCACCCGGGACATGCTGGACATCACTGTTCACATCTACAGGCCACATAGACCAGGCTCCTTTATCCCCAAACACGTCTTCTCACCTCTCACCAGCTCTGAACCTTGGGTCAGGACTTACACATCGATATGAAAGCAACCAAAGGACACATGCTGCCTTAATGGGTGGAAAATTATAGGCAGTAAGAAAGCAAATACTTTGTGGAACACCACTGGTTTGCTCAGAATAGTGGAGCTGGATCTCCCTACTGCTTGAGAATCTGAACATTTACAATTATTTAAACTCCGAATGCAGTAGGGAGCTTTTCTTGTCTCTCAAGGTGACGACTGTATTTTGAACTCTGTTAGCCCTCAGTCATGTTCTCATTAACAGTGTCGTTGCATTCAACGCACACGTTTTCTCGCGAAAGATGGTGAGTTATTTAGGCTTAATGCAGAATATCGAAATACCGGGGCTTTTCCTTTCACATTTATCTCCTAGCCCATTAAAGAATAGAACTGGCAACAATTCTCCTACTGAGAAATTTCAGTTAATATTGCTTAGGACTCTAAATGCTTTTTATTAATTAAGCTTCGGTGAAAGGGAAGCTGGCCACGGTGAGGCCTGTCTATAGACACGAGGCAGCTTGGCGTTCGGGTAGCCCATTGGCCGCGGCGTGTTAGATTGGACACTCTCCACTCAAAGTCAAGATGGCATTAAGATTTCTAAGGATTCATGTTGTCTTAATTGGGATGATGCAACATTGGCACGTGTTTCACTTGTCTTATACCCAGGTGGCAAGCCATGCTGAGTTTCAGAAGAAATGTAGAATTCATATCCACGATTTATAGTTTATTTGCACAATTTTAATTAGAACACTTAAGTTCTCTTTTAGCAAATTCCAATTTTAGTCACCGTGTCACCCGATAGGTCCTCAGACCTTACTCATCTTAGAACTAAAGATCGCACCCTTCCACCATTTGTCCATCTTTTTTGGAAAAATGTTGATTCAGGTCCTTTGTCCGTTTTTTCGAATTGCGTTATTTGTTGGTGGGAGTGGTTTTTGTTTTTTGGTGTGTGGTGGTTGTTTTTTTTTTTTGGCTGTAAAGTTGAATGAGTTTCTTGTATATTTGGATATTTAACCCTTTGTCAGGTATGTGGCCTGCATGTATTTTCTCCCATTTTATAGTCGGCCTTTTCATTTCGTTGATGGCTTCCTTTGCTCTACAGCAGTGTTTTTAGTTTGATGTAGTCCCTTTTGGTGTTTACTAAATGCAGCTTACTCTGTTGAGGCCTGATAGGTACTGGGCGTTTTTCTAAGAGATTAACACATACCTCAATTAGCACTCAGTGCATCTTATAGTATGGCCTGTGGTTTTCCCTATGTTACTAATAGAAGAATCAGTTGAGATGTTATAAGCTGTTTCCTCTTGGTTAGTCGTCGCATAGGTGTGGGAGCCAAATCTCAATGAGTCTGACTCCAAATCCTATGGTCAAAACCACTGTGCTGTATTTTCTCACTGTTTTTCTATGTGAACAGTGCTGAGAGTAAATGACTTTTTTCTGCATTCTACTCTGATCAGAAGCTTAAAACATTTGCTATAGATACAGCAAATATACACGAGGGCAACGTAATCCAAGGATGGTCCATCCAGTAACCCAGGGGGGTCATCGTACTTGTAGCTTAAACTTCATGGGATGCAGTTCATTTGCCTCTGGGTAGATTAATTCGTCTGGTCACTGTAACTAATGTGAAAATGCTTCCTGCGCCCCACGCAGGGGTGAGGTGGCATTCTGGACGCCGTGGGGGTTGTAAAGAGTGAGACATTGTCCCTGCTCTAAGGAACCCCGATAATGTGGGGGCCTAAAGTGACAGCTGTTACACAAACTCTGTAAAACTCCCACAAAATATGTATAGATGTGTGTTTCACTTGCACAGCCCCCCAAACGACATCATCAAGACCTCTTGGAATTGTCCCTGCTCCGGCTCCTTAAAAAAAAAAAGATTTAAAGGAAGGATTGATTGACTCGTCCCAATGTAAAGTACGCAAGTGCTATGAAATGAAGCCACAGAGAGAGAGAAAAGTTGAATAATTTAACTTTTGTATTTGTAAAGATAATCAGGGTTTTTCTGATTACATCTTAACTTCATAAATGTTAAATAGCCTATCAGCATCTAGTTGCTGTAAATTATGAAAAGGGGCACCGCGAGGAATACTAACCAGCGCGACCCTTGTTCTTGAGCGAGCAGGGAAATGGGTTCCGGCAGCCTGTCACTGTGGGACGGGCGACACTGACTCCAAATAACTAACTGCCTTTGCACGTGGGGCAAATCAACTCACTTGAGCTGCCACCGCCCCCCCAGGTCAGACATAAATGCATGAACTTGGGGACCAGTAGTCATGGGGCCTCCCAGCTGAATTTCACAAACACGCCCATCTCTTTTCATTTTGGCATCAGGACACCAGGGAGCAGGGTCGGTTCAACTTGTTGCAGGTGGTATAGGGTTGGCGGGGACCCAGGGGCCTGTCATGTCACAGTCCTGTAAATTATGACAAGGGAGGGGACCCTCTCTCCTAAACGCATGTCAGTGTTTGACACGGTCACAACTTCAAGGAGCATTTTCTGTCTCTACACCTCATAGGTACGTGCAAAGGACATTTACTTTTGATTAACCAAGAAACCAGGGTCTTTCTCTGAGTCTACACTAAGGGTCTTACTCTATGGCCTATAGCACAGGGAGGAAACTAGAAGAACAGGTTTGGGAGTAGAAAATCCAGTAATTCTGCTTTGAACTTGTTGAGATTGAGGTCTCTGAGAAGTAGGCTATTGAAATACAAGTCAGAAATGCAGGAGAAATATAAGGCTGGAGGTAAGGATTTAGGAATCATCAGAATAACAGTAATTTAAGCTATTGGGACCAATGCAGCAGATAGTTTAACTAGGAGGCTCTTCATTTAAAATAAAAATTCCGTCTGTGTTCAGCCCAACCTAGCACTTTTTCCAAAGGAAACACGTAATCGGTCCTTCTGCCTCCGTTCAGTATTTCCTTCGGACGTCTCATTTTCACCTATCGCACGCAAATTCCAGAGCATCTCTGCTTTGTACCAGTTCTCTTGCCTTTTACATACTGGGGCTCCATCCACAAAAAGCCAAATCACATTGCATTCTTCAGGCCTCGGCTCTCACGGTTGAGTCCTGTGCTGGAGATTTCATAGTTTCTATAGCAAAGCTAAACTTAAGTGCTGCGAAGGTAAATAATTAAAAGCCCACACATGTTATGAGCATCAGATCAATGAGAAAATTAGGGGGGGTACACTTATTATAGTCTTCATTCAGGGCCCACCCTTCTCCTTGAGCCAGTGTGTGTATCAATCATGACCAAATGCCATTTGCAGGCATTTAATTACATGCGTAGATTGCGAAGAGGCTAGAGTGACAGGACCTTTCTTTAGGAAGCACTGTGAAAAGTTGCAGTTTTCAAACCCAAATTTCATGTGTGTTTAGATGCATACATCTCACTGACAGAGTGGACTGTCCTGACTCCATAAGTAACGCGCTGGGAAGCCTCTAGGTAGACCCTGATTTGGGTACTTTATGGGTTCTTTTGTCAAGGGTCCGTGTCAGACTGGGATGCGCACACAACGCGTACAGAAAAATTATTGTCACAAGCAAAACCAGTGTTTTTTTAGGTACTTTAAGAGTAAGTTAGCCTAGGAAAAATACATGACACCATTTCTGATTGCCTTGTATTTCTTAAGAGGTGAAATGTGCTTCGGTTTTATTTGCCTGCAGAGTGTATCTTTGAAAAGAGCTATTATACTTCATTTGTCTTTTGAAATGAGTGGTACCCTTTTGTTGTTTCTGGAATATGCATTCTAATATTTCCCAGTGTAAGTTTCACGCCATTATGAATTGCTGCGTTAAGCAGCGATATGCCTTTATGTTATAAACGTTTAAATATATGTCGTTCTTAAAAGACAGGCATTTGTTGACCACCATTCTGCGTAGCATACACCTACATTTTTTACTCTCTCTTTAAAGGGGTCCTGATCCCCCATATGCCTGTGGAATACAACGTCCTGCTCGATGCTGGCAGTGTGGCACCTGTCATCTCCTCGGTGGGTCACCGTCAGTCCATCCTGCTGGGGAACTTGGCTCCATTCACACAGTATGACATAAGGATACAGGCCTGTCAAAATGGTGAATGTCTTTCAGACACTTGTTCTGGGCTTTTATGAAAAAAGTGTTTTATATATATTAAAAAAAAAAAAAAAAGGGATAGATTCTCAATTCAAATACAAAGACTAACATTTCATTTCTCATTTGCACTGAACTGTTTACCCAGAAAAATCAGAGCCTGGTACTGAGTGAAGCATTATGCATTTCTGCACATTAAATCATGAATATTTAAATATAGTATTAAAATAGTGGTATTGCAGAGTCTTGTTTTATAAGGCCCTTTAAAAGAAAAACACCTAGGTCGCATCAAGGGATCACTGGGAAAATAAAAAACTGGCTATTACAGAAATTTCATGGGCAACATAGTCACCTTGGCTGTGTATAAATTTTATTCAGGAGGGGCTGGTGGGGGCATTATTGAGAAGTTGAGTTACAGTCAGCTGAATCATAGGTATTTTAACGTGCTTTCCTGACCCCTATCTCACGTGCGTGCACTGTGGCCTTGAGTTCCGTGGCTTAGACCCGTGGTCAGTGAAATCATCCGTCTCAGTGACCTTCGGGAAGAGCCTCTCTCACCCCCTTCATCCCTTCAAATGCTGTAACACCCGATTGCTAAGAGCCCAAAAGATGCGGATCACAGTGGGGTACAGTATTGCTTCATCTCCAGTTAAAGAAATTACTGAAGGTCTTGATTTTTTTTTTTTTTCCAAGGAAGTTGTGGAGTTAGCAGCGGGACGTTTGTCCAAACATCTGAAGCAGCCCCGGTGGATCTAAGTCCCCCCGTTCTTAGGGCCCTGGGATCGGCTTGCGTAGAGGTTACGTGGATGCCACCTAGGAACCCAAACGGGGTCATCACCAACTATTTTATTCACAGGTAACACTTTACTGTTATTTTTGATTATTTAAGAATGTGTACTATTCCAGGACTGCGGCGTCAGATACATTTTCTGTTTCTAGTTGGGGACGGATGAGAATTTATGGTTTGGGGAGCACCTTCTAGGCACTAAAATCGGTACCGGAAATGTTTATATATTATCCAAGTGGGGGGAAAAAACCTCAGCTACCATGTAGCAGTTCTGCTTGAGCCTGTTTGAAAGACCAGACCTCAGAGCCACATAGGCCTTTCCTTTGCTGAAGTGGTGGAGCTTCGTCTAGAGGCTCCCTGACCCGGAGAAGATGGTGAGTCCAGAGAGGGGCCCAGGTCTGGAACGAGACGCCTAATAATATTCCCATCACCTACCATGTGGGAGACGGACAGGCTTTTTCCTAGCTGGGAGCTTTCTGTGTGTCTGCCTTACTTTGTTCAGGCTGCTCTAATGAAAATGCCATCAACTGGATGGACTGGAAACAACAAACATTTATTTCCCACAGCCCTGGAGGCCAGGGAGGCCGAGACCAAGGTGCTGGCGATCCGGGTGTCTCGGGAGCACCCGCTTCTGGTTCCCAGAGGGCCGTCATTTCCCTGTGTCCTTACCTGGTGGAAGCGGCTAGGGAGCGCTGTGGGGTGGGGTCCCCTCTATAAGGGCACTAACCCCATTCAGGAGGGCCCCACCCTCATGACCTAGTCACCCCCCCCCCGAGGGCTCCACCTCCTAACACCGCCCCGTTGGGGTTAGGATGCAGCATGTGAGTTGGGGAGGGGGCATAGCCATTCCGGCCATAGCACCATCTAAGACAGAAAGGACACCACGCGAGACAGACGCGGCGGGCGGCGGCCACTTGCAGATGGAAAGCCCCCCCCAAAGCAGCGCGTCCCCATCAGGCATACAGGCCACAGGCTTTTTCTCAGGTGCCCAGCCCCCCTTCATTGGTCTCTCCAGCCGCCTCCCACCTCCCCTGGTGTGGTCCGAGGCCCTGATCGCATCGTGAAGCCTGGTTCAGGTCCCTCTGCAGCTTCAGATACAACTGCAGTGGCCGGCTGAGGATTTGCTGGGAAATTATGGGAGGAAAAGCACGGCTGCCTTCCCGGTTATGCGGGTGGCACTGGCAGAAAACCAGCAGGCCGGATGCCTTCTCCGCTCGCCTTGATCTGAAGAAGCCTCCTCCTGGCTCAACCACGCAGCGACAGACACGCAGGAACCCGCGACAAACACGGCTGAAGGCTGATTTCCATTTTCCGCCCAGCCCACGGGCGCGGGCTCGCCACTGGCCCGTGCCCTCGGAGTCGATTCCTGTCGCCCCCTCGATGCTAATTGCATGAGAAAAGCACATCCAAGCCCGCCGGCTCCGAAAGGAGGGACAGAAAGTGTCTGTCACAAACCGGGAGGCGGCTTCACTCTCTGGGTTGTGTAAATAAAGCTCATGGCAACGGCGGAGCAGGAAAACAGAATGTAGTGCGGGAAGCCGGCCTCGATGAAAAATACTGTAAATTGAATTTGACAGCGTTTGATGGCATTTCATTATTCCAGTCACAGCCCAACAATGATATAAAGAGTAATATGAAACAGAATGCGTTACTGCCTGGCGGACTCCAAAGCAATAAACCTTCCTCCTAGGTGACACAATCACTCCACAATCATAATTGTGGCCTGTTTGATACCTCGGAGTACAGAAGAAGGGCACTGACTGACACAGATGCATTTTGTTTTTTATTTAAAGTGAAATGAAAATGCGCACCGGGGCCCCAGATACCATCATTATGTTCACCTCCATAGGCATGAATCACTCGGCGGTTATTTCGGCTGAAGTTTAAATGTGCTTCAACAACAACAATATCAAATTTTTCTTAGATAGCTGCAGGGGGGGGAAAAAATCAGAAATTTTTTTAGCACGTAGACACACGGGCCTCTTCCACCCTGGGACTGCACGGGGCTCCCTATGTCGCTACGGCCGCGAGCCCGCCGTGTTCCTGGGAGGTCACGGCATCTGATCCCTGCTGTGTCACCCGTGACCTCTTCGATCGCCACCAAAGGAAGCACACTTGGCTCAAACCAGAGGCAGGGGTTGGCCCACGCAGATATTTTCGTTAAATTGCAAGAAGCCAGCATGCCAATCCCATTTTGAAAACGCCCGTCACTCTATTCTCTGCAAACCCCCGCCCCCCAAATGATTTCTTCTCAGTAATTCCCTTCTCTTGTTAGTGATATTGTCCTGTTCACAAGTATCTGTCTCAATAAAGAGATAGGGCCTGGCCGGGCGTCAACCTAGGATCCAGGCAATCAGGGTTCGATTCCTAGTCAGGGCCTATGCCCAGGTTGTGGGCTCGATCCCCAGTCGGGGGCGTGCAGGAGGCGGCCGATCAATGACTCTCATCATTGATGTTTCTCTCTCTCTCCCTCTCCTTTCCTCTCTCTGAAATCAATAAAGATATTTTTTAAAAAAGAGAGATAGGATGTTTATGACTTAGAAGAAACCATAACCTAGTATGGCCAAGACCGTTACTGTGATTGCCTCTGTTTCGGGTGCCTGTGAATTTGATACAGCAGCGCCCCCCCCCTTACCCAAGGGGGATATGTTTCAAGACCCCCAATGGATTCCTGAAACCACAGATAGTCCCAAACCCTGTATGTAATAATTTTTTTCCTATGCATACATATTTATGATAAAGTTTAATTTATAAATTTGGTGCAGTAAGAAATGAACAACAATAACTAAAAATCAAATAGAACAATTATAACAACATACTGTAATGAAAGTTACGGGAATGTGGCCTCTCTCAGCCCCCCTCTCGAGCTGTCTCCCGAATGAGCTTAAGCATAGAACGACCGCTTGGCTATTCAGAGAGATCTTACACTGTGATTCCTCTCCGTACAGAGAGCCCAAGAGGTAACACATCCAGTTAAATGAGCAGGTGAAGCCTAAATCTGAACTAAATTAGGAATAATTGTGGTCTCCTCAACCTCTTCTGTTCAGAGTTTATTCACATGTAAAGATACCCTGTTTCATAACGCCGTGGATGAAATATTTACCTCACCGAAATGTGAATTTATTAAGTATTCAGTAGTGGTAAGAAATACTTCACCAGGCTGAGTCTTCTTTCATTGAATCTGAATAAGACTTAAGGCCAACACAATGCCCGATCTCTTACATGGCGTAGGTATTTTTTTAAATTCACACTTACAGGCAACTTTTTAAAGAATGTCAATTCGATGTCAACCACGGCTACACCTTGATGTAGGGATTCGTGAGAGCTTAATAAAAACGTAATCGAATTGTTAGAGGAAGGCCGAAGCCAGACAGAGTGGAAAATGTTATTTCCCCGCAGAAGTTCGTATGTCTGTTTGCTGTATTTAGCAAACACCTTTGAACAAAACTCAATGAGAGGAGACCTTGGCTGGGAGCCCTGTGGTCCTCATTAGAATGGATCCCTCCCGGTGACACACCTGGTACCCGGTATCTGCCACAAGCACAGGGGCCAAACCCTGCAAACCTCCCCCGAGTGCAGAGTCTGGCCCGTGCGCGTAGCGAGAAGCAATGAGGTGATCGCGGGTCACGGGGAGGTATCTAGGAAGCCTCTGCTGCCTCCAGCAGGAAGCTTGTCATTGCTCAGACACAGGGCATCCTGATTTATCAACCGGAGGGTCATCAAGCTCCCCAAGCCAGAGACGTTAAGTACCCTTCCTGCCTGTGACAGGTACTGTCGCTTAATTTGTCCTGATAACCCTTTCCGTGTTGATGGGTAGCCTGATACGGCGGCATGTGAATATGTCTGCATAGGAACAGTGTGTTAATTAAATGCCCCCAAATGGCCTAGAAAGACTGACTCATCCGTCTTTCTTCTCAGTGAGTGAGTGAGCTGAAGAGAGAGAGGGTCAGCTCTTGGGTACGTTCTTTCCCAACCTAGAAGGCTGCGCCCCAATAGGAAAGCAGGGATGGCGCAGACGAGGCAAAGATGCAGAAATGCCGTGAAATTATATGTCAGTCATCTGGAAAGAAATTATTGACCGCTTGCTGGGCTCAGGCTCTGGGAAGACGGAACTAAACCAGCCACACGTGCTCAGGAGCCCCCTCCTTCTGGCCAGGCCTGCGCCTCGATTTTACCCATGGATGAGTGAATGACCCAGACAAGTGAAATGGTCAGTTTTGAGGGGCGCAGCCGTCACCGATCACCTTCTGGGTTTCCTTTCAGACGTCCTGCTGGCACCGACGAGGAGGCCCTGGTGTTTGTCTGGTCGGAAGGAGCCCTTGAGTTTACCGATGCTGCAGACACCCTGAGGCCCTTCACCCTCTACGAATACCAGGTCAGAGCCCACAACTCCAGGGGCGCAGCGGAGAGCCCGTGGTCCTCAGCACGGACGCTGGAGGCCCCACCCCAAGATCTGCCAGCACCCCGGGCTCGAGCCAGCGGCGCTCACTCAGTGCTGCTGAACTGGACGGAGCCAGGCTCTCCGAACGGCCTCATCTCCCAGTACCACGTGGTCTACCAAGAGCGACCCGACGACCCGACCTTTACCATCCCCACCGTGCGCGCCTTCACAGTAGCCGTGAGTACTGGGGAAAATAACGGATGCTTGGGTTATCTGGTTAATGTGTTGAGATTCATTTGTTTTAATCCGAGTTGTGATTTTTTTTCACTGAGGGGTTAAATGTATGGAAATCTTGCACATGTTAAAAGAAGCAGTGTGGCCGTGGATATAAGGTGACTGGACTGAGTATGAGGGATATTGGGAACCAGTTTGCAGACCACAGTTAATTTGTATTAACTCAAGCAAATAAGTGAATCTCTCTCCACCTGATAATTTTCTTTTCTCTTAAAGAGCCAATCATATCCCATATCTACATCTATATAGGTATAATTATATACAGAGATCTAGGGGTTATATGAATTAAACAGAATCACCCGTAATAGATAGAGAGAGAGATATAGAATCAAATTGTATTTTAACGAAACTCTAAGAGGACCTTTGTAAGTGAGTAATTTAAAGTAGCGCATGTTGCCACTGTCCTTATGTTTAATTTTCCCACGTGACTAAAAGATAGGCAACATGGGAATGAAGGCATAACCTTTCTTAAAATCTTCGTTCCAGAATCAGGACTTTACATTTTACTTGGCGTTTAGTGATCTTTACGTATCAGGATCTCGTGCGTTACGTGTTCGGAATCCTTCATTATAAGCATTGGGGGCGGTGTACTTGGTGTAGAAGGTGTGATCCATGAGCGAATGTGTTACTTGTCACCGTACCCTCGGGATTCATGTTCTAAATTTCCACCCTGAAGGTAAGAACTGAAATACAAAGTAAAAATAACTTGACAAGAGCTTTCTGAATGAGACAACTTAATCTAAATGCAGTTTGTTGAAGGGACCAATTATGCAGTGATTAAACCCCTGATCTTTTAAGTGATGGCTTTTAGGGTTATGAGCCCAAAACAGTTCTTCTGGAATTCCCTGGTGAAAAGGGTCTCTAAGCCACCTCTTCCTGGCCAGTTTCATTCTACAACACAAGACTTAAAGAATCTAAGGAACTAGAATGTACTACACTAAAAATGTTTCTTTTTTCAGAAATACTGGCTTATTCGCCATGGCCCCAAGCTTTAAGCTTCCCAGGGCATTTTGTTCATGGGCCCTCCTGATACAGCTTCTGTTCTGACAGCCAAGTCTGCATCTGTTGCATTTCCATCTTTCTAAAGATTAATCCTTGCGACCCAAAGAGAATAACCAGAATGATAAAAAACCAGTAATATTTCGGCGTACCATCCTTGAATGCGAGCGTGTGTGTGCGTGCAGAGTGACTCCCCCCACCTCCCCCAAAGTCTGGATCTTTGGCCCTGAGAATCCCAAGAGAAGACTTCATTGGGTTCATCAGGAAAAGTCCTGTTTGACCTTTGTAAGCAACCGAGGACATCTTCCCCGGGACAACCAGATTGGTCTTCAAATGTTCTGGTCACTAGGTCAAGTTTCCAGGGCAGGAGTCCTCTAGGACTCTTTATGGACCGACGTCTTTAAAAGAAGGAATCAGAAAAATAAACCGTTGTCTTTGAGTTTCATCCATTTGTACATTCCCAAGAGAATGTGCTCCACATCTTTTAAAAGCGTCTAAGGAAGGGGGTCCTACCCCTTCATTCCAGTCCCTCGCCATCCGAGATGCGTGATCCTTTCATCCTAGCCAAACCCCTCCTCCCCTAAGTCCATCTCTTGTGCTCAGAGCAGCGTGGCTTTCCCGTACTGGTCAATGGATCTTCAGGGTCAGCAACAGATTATTGACGATTCAGTCCAATTTGGCAAATAGTCATTGAGTACTATCTGCAATAGGTCAATACTCAATTCTAAGCTCGAGTATATTTATGAAGTCTACCTTGAGTCCGGGCCCTGGGGCAGAGCAGAGACTGGGGGAAAGATCGGTAATCGAGTCTGAGGTGCAGATTCTTACTGCTGGGCATTTCGGGTTTTTATGTCGCTTTGCTTCTGAGATTCCGCCGCTCATGCTTTGATGATTCCCTTGTAAATCTTCCTCTGAGTGCCTTCCTGGCTCCGCTTACTATTCCTCTAATGCCTACACCAGCTGAGCATCTTCCCTGTCTCCTTCCATTCCTCTGCCTGCCCCAGGAAATCTTTCAAGTTTTTGGTTCATAGATGGCTTTGGCTGAAATTCTCCAAAGCAGAGGACCCTGTCCTCACAATTGCAGGATTACAGTTCAGTCCTCAGACTAATCCCCCGCATTTAGTCTCTTGTTTATCGGGGTCCCATCTCTGCACAAGGGGCCACCAATACATCGCCATCGCTAGCTTGGCCCAAAGTCCCCCCAGAGTTGTTTACTGACAGTTGGACGTTGCTGGGAGAGCCACACAAAACAGATGCAGTGGATGCATGAATCCTCCCGATGGCGGCGGCGGATGGAGAACTGGCAGTGGGGGCCCTCTGCGGGGGTGGAGAGCATATGTGTTGGCAGGAGCAGCAGCAGCAGCAGCAGCAGCCGAGGCAGCAGGAGAGGAGAAATGGGAAGAGTGCGGGTTTGAATGTATCACCAGCTTCTCTCCCAACCTCAGGAAGCTTCATCTCCTCCTGGGCCTCCGTAGGCCCTTCTGAGGGGAAGAGGGAGGGGGATCTAGCGTCTCAGGGTCTCGTCGGACCAATGCCCACCGCTACCGAAAACGAGCTTCAGGCAGAAACCCTCAGACTGCCTTCCCCGTGAGCCCTGTGATGAATTGTGCGGTGTCGGGAGAGGAGCCGCATTTAGCCTCACTTGGCAGGCGCGCGGTCCACGGTGGCGTTTGCAGGGAACGCTCCTGGCGAGCTCGGCCACCCTGCTGCCACCATCCCGATTTGTTTGCTATTTCTCACTGGCACCTGCCATTGTGCTGGCAGAAATAACTTGGGATTTAAAGCGAAGGTGGTTTACCTGTCAGTCTGTACCCTAAGTATATCCCTGCCTCCACCCCCAGGGTTATACAACATCCAGCCCAGAACACACACTCGCCCAGGGTCCTGAAAGGTAGATGGTCCTTTACCCCGTGTGCAGAATGAAGCCTGCAGAGCTGAGGGGTAAGCAAATTATATGGGCCCCTAATCCAGAATTACAAACTCCAGTCTCTAGATTCTAGCTGCCAGGCTCCCTTGCCCAATGTCAAGGAGGAGGGATTCAAAATTTCCTCGTGTGGTTGTCTGAAATTTTCTTTACCATTAAGTAGATCTGTCGGGGGGAAATGAGATGCGTCGTAATTGCCATATTATGGAGAGTTTGTGAGTAAATTGACAAATTCACTTTCTATTCCATTTTCATTTTGGCTTAGTATAATGTAAAATATGATTGCTCTTTACACATGATCTTAAATTAGGTGTAGCCCTTAAAATTTGGTGGTTCTTGGCCTTTTCTCCCTAGATCCTCTTAGAAGACAAAAGAAATGTTCTGGGAGACCTAGCTATCTGGAAAGACTATCTTTCCAAAATGAAGAAAAAATTGGTAATAAAAACAATTACCATAAATTTCTGTTTCGGTACCATAAGCTCAGATTTTCACATTTTATAATATGAGATATTCATTCTTTTATATAAAAGATACAAAATAAGGGTGGGTGAATGCCACACAAAACAATAAATACTGGTTGGCACTACTCTTCTTTATTGTAATGATGTATTTGGTTTGACACTAACTTTTCACATATTCTTTTATATCATCTTTATGTCTTATTTTCTAATAATGCCGTATCAATCACAAATATATACTGGAGATGTGTTTTAGCTCAGTATTACTAGGGATTGAGAGAGAAAAATCCATGTAAGTCTTCTTAAATGTCATAGAACTACTACTTTAGAAAAGCTTTATTTTTGTCCAACCTCTTGAGTCCAACAAGCTTCACCAGGCCTGTCTTGCTCCCTCACCAATAATCTCTGCAGGGGGGGGCGGGGGTCCCATGGTTTTCCAGTCACTTCCAGTGACAGCAACCAGCCCAGTTTTAGGAATCAGGACTCATTTCAGGTGTTTAAAAAACATCCCGCCTAAGCCTGACTGGTGTTAGTGGATCTACGGGGGAGAGGAGAGGGCATGTTCACTTTCCTTCGCCTTCATCTCGTGTCGATTTCCCCAGGATCTTGGCAGAAACGAAAGAATTAGACATAAAGGAGCAGAGCCTAACTCAGAGTTTGCTGATTTAAGTGCTTTCTGATACCGGACTGTTAATTTCCAGGGAACTTCTCAAGTACTGGATTAGATTCTATTTCCTTTCTACGTGGCCAGGAGCAGGACGATGCTTTTTGACTCCCTGAGGTTTAGTGCTGACCATCTCCCCTTTTACCTAATGCCTGTCCCTCAAGGAGCCCTGCTCAGACGTAGCTGTGTTTCCCTGCGGTGACACCCACAGGACCCTGCTCACTGCCCGAGATCTGGGATCATATCAGCAAAACATGAGGTCTTTTGGTCACACACACACACTCCCTCCCCATATCAAACGGGTTCTACCAAATTGGCATCTACCTACCTCACTTACGCCCAAGAGCGGACTCTCTCAGTGCCGAGGGGCAGCACCCTCTAACTCAGGTATGTTGTTATTTTCTGGCCTTTGACCGAATTATAAGGAAACCCTTTAAGAACCCCCCAATTCCCCCAGAGCCTTATTAAAAACATGCATACGAACTAACCCACCCAGGCCGTAAATTCAGAATATATGCCATTTAACAGGGATGGCCAGCTGCAGATGAAAGCAAAGGGCAGGAGTTAATCGAACTACAGTGCCCTTGTCACAGGTGGGGAGCGGCCACTACCTGAGACAAGGTGGCTGGCCCCAAAGTGCCCTGTCGCAGCCAGGAGATCACCCCCTCGGCTCTGCAAGGGCTTATGGGTGAGGGGGAAGCGGACACAGATGACCAATTCTTTTATGGTTCACGGCCGAGCAAAGTGAAATTCAGCATCTGTTCGGGACAAGTGACCACTGTAACGGCTGTAATATCACCCGCTAAATAGGGAAGGAATCACATTAGAGCAAGAGGTTAGCCGTGATTATCGGCAGGTGAGTGCTTTATTGGAGTTGAAAGACCATTAACATTGATAG